GAAGGGATGGGAAGGGGAAACAAAGGAGGAGGCAACAATGCTTGATAAGAAATGTACTCATTATCTTGCCCATGTAATTGTAACCCCTCTGTACGGCATTTTCACAGTTAAAAAAAATTAGAAAAAAAATTTTAAAAATTAGATAAAGATGCAAGACAGGGCTCCACAGAAGAAATACTTCAGACATTTTAAACTATAAGTGGTTCTTTACTTTAGACATTACTGCCTGAGCAAAACCTGGGAACATAGAAATGCTTTTGTTATCAATTATCATCACAGTCACTGGGTGTGAGGGGTCATTATTTGGAGGATGAGAGGACAGGATGTGAAACCTTCAAACAGTGTCAGACAGTCCTGCACATCCTAGTATATGAGAGACTGTCCTTAGGGATTTTTCAATGATGAAGGTGTGCAAATGCTGGCCAGATATCCAAATGATACCATCAACAGCATAGTAAATGACAACCAAGACAGGAACAATTCTGCACACCTGGAGTTCCAGCTACTCAGAAGGCTGAAATAGGAGGATCACCAATCTAAGAGCTCTACATCAGTCTGCAGCATAGTAAAATCTCCTTTTCAAGCAAGACCAAAACATTACACATGAAAGTACTGTGCACGTAAGAGAGCTCCCTGTAGCAGCCTCACCTTCAGGTGGTAGATGTGCTCCTCTGTGTCAAGATCTATGCACTTGGATGACTTCTTCACAGACATCACTGACAGCCCCACATCAATGCAGCCATGAAGTTTCTCCCTCTCGATCTGTGGAATAGTAGTGGTGAAGGACTGGTGATCTCTTCCCCCTGATCTTCCACAAGCACTATCAGGAAGCGCACACACCATGGCTGATGGAGCACTTAGCACCTCAGTGCTGAGTTAAGTACTGGGCATACACTGACTTCTGTATTCAAGGAGGGAAGAAGGCCTCTCCTTGTTTCATAGTCAGAGGAGCCAAGTAGTGTACAATATTCACTTGGAGAAGCAGGAGAGCAACCTCCATGGGTTGACCCTCACTGAATATAGTATCTGTGTCCAAGTCCATTAAGTAGTGACTTAAAAGTACTATTGGACAGGAGACTCAGGGAGGAGAAGCAGAGGAAAGGAAGAAAGAAGAATCCTATATGGCAGGCCTACCAATCACTTAGAGCTCTCACAGCCGACTGCTAGTGTGTCCTTCATGAGACGCTCTCCTCAGCGAGGACCCTCTAAACCAATCCTGTGTCACTGTGATGCTCAGGCACCATAGCGGTGAGAATGCCACATCCTGTGCTTTGTTGCTGTTGTTAACTGCAAAGTGCCTTGATCTACTCTGGCAACCCACCATAACTCAAAGCCAGAACAGATCCATATATACCCAGTAGGGAATGGTGGACTCCCAGAACCTCTCCCTGGAGGTGAATTGAGCCCAGCAAGAATCTCAACCCAGGACAGTGCAGAGCAGGCACCAGTATCCTATCTGGAAAAACCATCATCCTCAAAGCACTATGGCCCTAGATTATGCAATCTATCCCTTGAGCTGGCAACTTCCCCATGGGATTCAACAGCATGGAGGACCAACAATAACACTTACATCTGTTTGGCTCTTGGCATATTTCAAGATTCCTTTGTCCAGGTAGAAGAATCTCTGTGAGGAACAAGATATAATTCATTACAGTGATCCATTTGAAACATCCTTCCTTTGGTGTTCAATTTTGGCCAGACATACTTGTAATCTTGGCTACTGGGGAAGTAGAGCTAAGGAAGAAAGTAGTTTGAGGCCAGCCCAGGCTAGCGTTGGCAAGAGGCTGTCTTAAGCCAGTGGTTCTTGCCTGTAATCCTAGTTACTCAGGAGGCTGAAATCTGAGGATCGCAGTTCAAAGCCAACCCCGGGCAGGAAAAAGCCATGAAACTCTTATCTCCAATAAACCACCAGAAAACCAGAAGTGGCACTGTGGTTCAAGTGGTAGAGCATTAGCCTTGAACTGCAGAGCTGAGCAACAGTGCTCAGGCCCAGAGTTCAAGCCCCACAACTGACCAAAAAATCAAAAACAAAAAAAAGAAGGGCTGTCTTAATCAATAAACTGGGAATGGTGGCATGCATTTTTAATCACAGCCATGTGGGAGGCTTAAGCTGAAAGATCTTGATTGATCACAGCCTATAAAATATGAAACCCCATCTGTAAACAACTTAAGAAAAATGGCTGGGAGCCTGGCTCAAATGGTAAAGTACCTACTTAGCAAGGGCAAGACCCTGATTTCAAACTCCAGTGCTGCTGCTGATAATAATAATAATAATACCCAAGAATCAAGTACTGAGTGGGACACAATGAATGCCCAGAAACGGGACGTGAATGCTAATGTCTTACCTTGTGCCAGCCTTTTAGGGGCCATTTCCTCTTTTTCAGCAGAAATCCTTTCTGCACAGGCGGCTCTTGGGTGTAATTCATCTCTCCCCTCAGTCCTTCCACCACTTCCCAGCTGTCCTGCTCCAACAAAAGACTTTAAATACCAATCTTTTAAAAACATCACAACATTAAGAAATGCTTCATGCTGTCAGAAAATCCATCTAGGGGTTTGTTGGGCAGAAGAAATTCAAATTTAATTTCCATGTAGTCCCTGGACTTTATAGACTTAATGCTGTACTTCAATGAGATCAGATTTGATTGCTGAGCTCTGTTTCAGGAGAGGCTGCTTCTCTCACATTTGGTGTCTGAGCCTTGATGAGCACAGCTGAAGGGAAGGATCTGACGGCAGCTTCTATTTTTATTCACCTTCACATCACCACACTACTGTTCACTTACTAGACTTTAGTCTGAATGTCAACCAAAAGCTAGACAACAGGACGGAAGGGGTGTTTATAAGCGTGTGTGTGTGTGTGTGTGTGTGTGTGTGTGTGTGTGT